AGCTACTAGGAACAAGTGCCATGCTAGTAGTAACAAGTGCCTTACTAGTAGTAACAAAGAAGCTATTAGAAACAGGTGCCACGCTATTGCCTTGAATATCAGCTTTTAGGTTGTGCGCCATCACCCTTAAGTTGGAGGCCATCGCTACTAGGTTGAGGCCATCGCGCCATCGCTAGGTGTGAACTGATTGGCTTTGTGAAATATGTGATTGGCACTGGTTAGCTGTTCAGCACTGCGGGCCTTGCATGGTAGAGTTTGCTTTTTTACGCTTGACGTATGCTTGACATCTTGAGTCTTGACATCGAGTTGTTGGCGTTCGTTGCGGTGTGGGATCGCTGTCAGCTGTCCCACGATTCAAAATCCTGTTTGTAAAGTACTCGCCTTTCCCCATTATGTGGCCTAATTGTCGAGACATGAAACAGATCGAAACGGAAAGTCTGACATCTGACATGGTGGGTTCCTCGCTACACGAGGCGTGGCTCATTGTTTCTTTGAACGTTTCATGTCTGTCCCTTTGACTTACTTGGCTGCCTTAAAGTATCTTCGATAGAAGACCGGCACCTCTTTTGGTTTCTCGATGTCTGACTTCATTGGTTGCTTGGCTGGTCTGGATTGGTTGCCTTGGCAATTTGCTATCGGAGGATGCAGTGATGCAGCTTCTGGCTGCTTTGGTTGCAATGTCGCTGTTTCTGGGTGGGGTAATTGTCGGCTGTCGCTTTTGCTTTGATAGAGTGGTCGCATCAACTCACTTGAGCCGGTAGCACGGAGGTGGAGCTGAACTGGACCCATATGAACCCCGTTTCTCAGTCAGTTCATCTGGATCCACCGGCTGTAGATATTGCGTTAACAAGGAGCTAAACAAGACAAGACTCCAAGCCTTTTTCGATCTTTCTATCAGTCGAATCTGTCTTCCTCCAGCAATGCAATCTGTCTTCCTCCACGAGTGCATGCTTCACGTGTCATGCCTGAAGTTGGCACGAGATGCGTGAATTGAAGGTTTTTAACAAACACGTTGTTTTTTTTTGGTGTCGTTTCTTCATGTCTCGCACAAATCGGTGTCCTCTGAGGTACCGACCCTTCACTAAGCTGCCTTCTAACATCCCAAAGTCCTTCTGTTGAACGCAAACCACGCTGTGAACCTCTGAGCCACGCGGCACTTTGGCGCCCTCCAGGCCCTCCGGGCTTCACACGGCCGCTTGGCGCTAGGCCGCGAGGCGGCCTTCATAGCGTGAGAAATAGGAGAGACAGACCGCACGGGCTGGCGGCACTGCCAGCCTCACTGCCAGCACTTTGACCAATTTGGGCGGCAGGAGGCAGGGCTTGCCAACGTTGCGTCAGAAAGTGAGCCAAAATTGCACTCCAGCCTCTTCACTGTAAAACTAAGCCTTCAGACGAATAGCATCCAATGCAGCACACATGGCGCAGTGTCAATCACATCTTGCAGATTCAATCTCCTTTACATCGCTTACCCGGCATCGGCTCACTCGGCTCACAGCTTCACCCTGGGTAATTCAGTCCCAAGGGCTCAACAGCCTTAGAGCATGTCACGCTGACACAAACACATGCCAACAGCCTTCTGCTCGCAGGACTTCATTCGGCCAGCGGAAAACTCGAGACCACCGGTGTAAAGGTGCACTTACGCGGATTCACCAATGCTAGAAATGTGCATTTCACAGCCCGCATTGTGTCCCAAATCATCCCAAGGCTAGACATCTGATTTGTAAGTTGGAGAATGGGCTCATCTCTCTTGAGGTTTACCTTTGCTAGCAAAAAGCACGGAAGCTCCACTCTGCGGAAGTGTTTATATGGTTGCGGGACCTCAGCTTTGTTCCTGTGCATGGTCCTTTGTGATCACTTGGTACTGCCACTGCTTTGCATGTCCGTGTCCGTGCAATCCAGTTCAAAAATGCTAGATGTGGGAGTCGGCATGCTTCATGTAACATGGCCGCTACAGCGGAGCCTGCACGAAAAAACGTAGGCCTAGAAGACGTCTTACCTTCACTCATTGAATGGCTTGGATGAGACCACAGGATGACCACGAATGATTGTGGCACTGACAATTGTGCAGTCTAGAGAGGGGATTGCGTGCATAAGCAGGTACTTGCCTGAACCTGGCTGGAATTGCTTCAGAAAAAAATGACTATTAAATGGATGCACAAATTATCATCGACCAGTAAGACTCACCCACTCACGCTAGCCTTCAATGGTCGCCGAATACTTGTCGAACAAATTGTAGTCTTTGAGCAGGACGTTGAAAAGGCTGTAAATTCAGGAGAAGCTGAAGCGCCCCTGTCAAGCCATTTCCTCGAAAGAACCGTGCCAACAGCCTTCTGCTCGCAGGACTTCATTCGGCCAGCGGAAAACTCGAGACCACCAGTGTAAAGGTGCACTTACGCGGATTCACCAATGCTAGAAATGTGCAT